ATGAATTTACGGAAGAAAAAGAAGACAAAGGGATTGAAATGAAAAAAAAAGATTACAAATAGATATCAGACAAAAGAATAAGGAAGATACAAAGAAAAAAAATGAAAGATAAAAAATAGTAAGAAAAGTATAACAAAGCAAAAAGTAGAAAAGAAATAGACAAATCTTGAAGAAATAGAAGTAATAAGAAGAGAAGAAAAGAAGAGATGAGGAATAAGAAAATTGAAAAACGTAAGAGGAAGAAGAATAAAAAGTATACGACTATTGAAAAAAAGAATGAAACAACAAGGGCGAAGAAAATCCAAATGTTGAATTATAGAGGGAAAAGAGATGGATGAAGTTAATGAAGAAGAAGAATGGACAACCAAAGAAGAAGATTGAATAAAAATAAAATTAGAATAAGATAATTAAAGACAAGATGAAAATGTTGAAGAATAAGATGTGGAAGAAGATGTGATTTTGGAGAAAAAAAACTATATACAATCTTAGAGAATAAGTTAAGTGACAATCTAATGATGTTAGTCCCAACCCAACTCATAAATTTTCGGGTTAGTTTCTTTCACATATGTTTCACGTGGATGTTCTAATATTTTGGGTTTATTACATAAAGTTTTGTTTTCATTTTGAAACCTCTAGATCCACGCAAGACGCGGACTAATCACCTAGTTGCTTTGTATGATTTTATTTATATTTGTATTTTTATATTTTTAAAAATTATATTTATTTATCTTTTTATAATAATAGTTATTTTAAAAAAAATTAGATATTCACATCTAAATATCATCAGTTCATCACATTTTAGTATATGTATATTCACTTATAAATATTTAAAATAATTAAAGTTTAATATACTTTATTTTCTTCGCAATTTTGCCCGGGGGGATTCGAAACCTAGTTCCAGTAAAAACAATATCAAATACGAAGAAAAATAAAGTAGATTTAGTGATCCTGTATTTATTGGAAAACATCAAATAATTTTAACTCTCTTTTTTTATTATATATATTTCTCAGTATAAGTAGGTATATATATATATACCTCATTATGTATACTAATTTTGTATTCTCAATTTGATATCAATTTCAGAATACTGTAGTTGGATGAAATGGAAACAGTTTAAAAGTGAAATCGCCATGTTTAGGCAACCAACAGACTTTTAAAAAAAATACCAATCCAATGAGTGAAAAATTTTAATTTCCTAAAACCACGACCTGGTTAAATCTGGTTTTGGTTAATTTTAAAGAACCAAACGATCAGCTTTCGGTTTGAAGATTTTCTTATCAGTTTCTTCTGAATTTTCCTGGAAGAGGAGACTTGTGAACGAGATCTAGCACGGACCTCTTCGTGTCGTCGTCGCGGAGAAGAATTGCGAAAGAGGCAAAGGAGCTTCATAAACCCTTATAGATCGAGTTTCTTTCTCCATTTCAGACGACGAGAAAAGAAAGGAAAACGCATCGAAGATGAACATTTTCAGATTAGCAGGTGATATGACTCACCTGGCCAGTGTTCTTGTCTTGCTTCTCAAGATCCACACCATCAAATCCTGCGCGGGTATGTTCATCTTCTATCTTTATTTTTCGAAATTCAGAATCGATTAGCGAGTGGTGTTGTATGTTTTCTGGTGCATTTTAGGCTCGCTCCTATCTCATTTTCCTTTATGGTGTGAAATTCTCGATTCGATTCCTAATTTTCTGGAATTAAACCTGTCGCGTTAACAGAGAAATCCCAAATTTCATTCGAATTCTTGTAATCATCTGCCAAAGTTGTTTCTGATCCGATTTAGATGATTGGATTTGAGCCACTTTGATTGAACTTTAAGTATTTTTGTAGGGAGCTTTGATTAGATTAGCATAGCATACTTTTCTCAAGCTTATGAGAATTCACTTTCTTTGGCATCTGCAGGTGTTTCACTGAAGACTCAAGAACTCTATGTCATTGTCTTTGCGACCCGATATTTGGATATTTTTACGAGTTTCGTGTCTATCTACAACAGTCTTATGAAGTTGATATTCTTAGGAAGTTCGTTTTCGATAGTTTGGTACATGAGGTACCATAAGGCTGTCCACAGGACTTATGATAGGGAGCAAGATACCTTTCGTCATTGGTTTCTCATGCTTCCATGCATACTCCTAGCTCTTCTGATTCATGAAAAGTTTACCTTCTTTGAGGTAAGAAACAATCTGTGTCATCTTAGTCTCCGGGAAATTTTTATTTGTAGGCTTGATACATTTATTGGGTGCTATTTGTAATCTTCTCTATAAAATCAGGTCATGTGGACTTTTTCACTGTACTTGGAGGCTGTTGCAATACTTCCTCAGCTTGTTCTGCTGCAGAGGACTAGAAATATCGACAACTTGACAGGACAATACATATTTCTCCTTGGGTATACATAACTCTATTGACTAGACTCATACTTCAATTTCAGACATTTCATTTCTACTCTTATCTTGTTGTTAAAACAATGTGATAAATTGCTATCTATTTTGTTTCTTGAACGTATTTAGAGTTTCATATTTGATATTCAGATTACGTCGTCTTGTTTCAGGGGATACCGTGGATTCTACATTCTCAACTGGATTTACCGTTATTTCACTGAACCACACTATGTTCACTGGATAAGTATGACTAATTACCTCTCTCAACCTTCTATGTCAAGTTCCCAATTTGGGAACATTATAGCATCTGTCATATGTGTGCCTACTTAGATTAGTGAACTCTTTACCGCATAACATCATCAATTCGTCATCATTTAGTGTTTCTTCGATATATGTGCCTACATCAGATGCTCAATGCTCATGAATTAACAGTTAAGCTGAAATTATGTGTAATCTGTGTTGTAGCATGGATCTCTGGGCTCGTTCAAACATTGCTCTACGCCGATTTCTTCTACTATTACTTCCTAAGGTAACACAAAACCTCCTTCTTTCGCCTCTTATGTTCAGAAATGAAATACAGAATTCTTGACTATGGTTTGGTGGTTTTATCATCACAGCTGGAAAAACAATAAAAAGCTGCAGCTACCGGCTTAGTCTCTAATTTTCCGATTCTTGGGAAGCAAATTTGGTATTGCGCACTGGAAGTTTGGGATTAATCAATCAGTGGGCGGGGCTTACTTGTTATATAGAAGAGAAGGTTATATAGAATTGTAAACTCTCTAGTAATCTAACTTGTTAAATTTGTTGTACTTCTTCTTGTTTTCCCTTCAAGGGCAGTGTTCTAAATTTCTTTACCGAACATTAAACCATCCACAACCAGGCAATGTAAACTATTTATCTTTTTTCAAATTGCGATCGATCCAAGTTGTGTAATTGATGTATGATCCAAAGAGCCAAGGCTACATCAGCTAATCTCAAAGGTTGACAAGCGATGATAGCAGAAATGGTGGAAGGTAGAGACGGAGTCTACATGGTGGCTGAACCACGAATACACCAACTTAATATAAGGGGTAACCATGCAAGGAGAAGAAAACTCAGAAATTCTAAAGTACAAGCCGACACCACACAACATCAGAAATCCAAAAACAAAGTACATTGCTTTAGAACAAGTTTCTATAAAGAAAACTCAACGTTTTTCTAGTTGGTAGTTTCGCGTAAGACCATTTGAAAGGTGATGTTGGCTCTGGTAAATTCGGGTCTCCTTGGGTCGGGTCATGGGTCGTCGTAGGACATTGATGGGTGAAGGATCCACGTTAAATGCATTGCTAGTTGGGCTTGAGAACTTGTCTAATACCACCTGATGATTTAGTTGGAAATCACTAAGGGGGCCAGGGAGTGTATTTAATCTATCAGAGAGGATTTCGAAAGATTGAAGTTTTAACAAGGTTTTAGATGATTTGATTGAATTAGGTAAGTTTTTATGATTTGTTTTTAAAATTTTACTAGAATACTCGCCCACATGTCTTGCTTAATTTGTCATTTATTTAATTTTATGCTATGATTTTTCGTATATATTGCAACATGTAATAACAAAAATACATTTCACTTGTCCTAAAAGAGTTTTGATGTAACATCCCGACCTTCAGTTAACCAAAGATCGGATGTTACTAGTTCCTAATTCCGGTTTAATTAGATTAAACCATTTCTTTTAATTATTCTTTTGATAAACCTTTTTTTTAATCTCTTCTTAAAAACCCATTAAGCCCAACCCATCTAATTAATCTAAATATAAATAGCTTTCTTATTTCTTAAAACCCTAATTAATCATTCTAATCCTAAGAAACTCAAACCTAGCCACCTTTTCTCTCCTTCTCCTTCTCCTTCTCTCAGCCATGCCATCCTCTCTCTCTCTCTCTCTTGGCTGCCTCTCTCTCTTGTTCTTCTTTCTCTCTCATCATCCTCTTCTTCCCTAGCCGCCACCTTCCATGACGTTTTCCCAGCGAACCGCGAGGATCCACGAGATGAGGGAACTTTCAATCTGTAGCCCCGAGTGTCAGCTTTCTAAGGATACCGAGTTCATCCAGATCGGAGATCTGTGCCATGAGATATCGCCATTTTGGTGTGAGATGTCCAGATCTGCAATTCTAGCTAAGGTGAGGATTAGATCTAGGTCTTTCTTCTTATCCCTTTATCTTCTTCTGGTGTGTTGAGTCTAGATCTAGTGGGACAGGTCTGTCTTCATGTGCATCTAGGCAGATCCATATATATAACTAATAAGATCTAAGATCTCATTAGAGGAAGAACCAACATGATTGATTAATAACCATGTTGATTGGTTAGTAATTGGTAGAAGTTCTAAAGGTCATAGTCTGTTTCTGGTAGTGATGTGCCGAATGCAGGCTTGTTTGCTGGGTTATGTGCTGTTTGTGTGACCGTGGCAATAATCCATTCGTCCGCTAGAGTGACGACCAACGGGGCTGTCCATGTGGCATGCCGGATTTGACTGTCTGTGTGACAGGGTCTTTGCCTGTGTGACAGGGTGTCTATCTATATGACAAGGTGAAATGTCGACATGTGTCCGAGTGACAAGGTGGTTTGGCCTATTGAGATACGGGACGGAGACATCACATGTTTGTTAGTTGCTTGTGCACTTGTAGAGTGCTTGTGCACTTGTAGAGTGCTTGTTTGGTTTCATTGGATTTATTTTTAATATGTTGGTGGAAATCTTCTTATCTTATATATAATAGTTGCTGAACTCTCTCCAGTTTTGCGACACGTCAGTATCTGTGAGAGTGACACGTGGCACCAATAGAAAAAACATTTACTTTCCGTCATCCTCTCTCCCTCTTCTCACTTACGTTGACCGATCAAACAGTTACAATTCATTGCCTCCTCTTCCTCTTCTCTAATAGTTTTTAACGGCTCATGGATATAAATAACCATAAGGTTCCACTTTGTTCATTGAGAGTCCTTTCTGATCCAGTACAAAAAAACTTTTCGATCTAAAACCATTTTTTCAACCTCTCATTTTTCTCCTCTGAATCACCCAATCTCGATCTTAAACCCAAGAACAATGGCGGCTTTAGCACCTCGAATCCTCATAAGCTGATTGACGGTATGAAAACAGAGGAAGACAGAGACTCTCTATTACAGTCCCCAACGACCTTGACGAGAAGAATCTTTTGCCCAAACATGCTTCTTCATAAAACACTCTGATTCTTCTCCCTCAATCTCAGTGGATCTCCAATTGGTAATTATTCACAACCAATACACTCATTTTTTCCATATTTATTATCTCAGTGGTATTTCTGTTCAAGCTACACCGACAAAGAACTCAATGACATAAGTCATATAACAGAGGAAAATCTATTGCAGCTGAAGTATGGCCCTACATCTGTTTCGGTATATGTCGAGGTAAAAGCATAATTGATCTCCTTTCGTTCTCTCAAACTAAATTAGCGCTGTTTTATTTAATATTTTTGGAAGCCAGTGAAGCAGATATGAGCAACAGTACACAAGTAAATTACCAAAGAACACACTTATGAGGTAATTTTATGCTTTTCTTTTCATCTTGACGAGTGAATGTGTGCTCTTTCTTAATTAGTAACTTTCCCTGTTTCAATATTTTGGGTTTCACTGCTAATTGAATCTTGTGTTTATCTTTTATTGGCTCCAATTCTGCCCTGAAATCTATTGAAATTTATTTCTTATGCAGAGGCTCTCCACACCATAAAGAGAGAAATGGTTGTGGCTACATGAGGTTTGTGCACTTCTCTTTTGTAAAGTTACTTCTATAAGCAGTTTTTTAATGTAGAACTTCTATAATAGATTATTTAGCAAATGGAAGTCTTAAAGCTGTTTTACATTTTTGTTGATTTTGGGCTGTACAGTCTCTGTAACTTGTGTGAATTCTCACATGTGCTTGCTTCTTCTCGGTAGATGTTAAATTTTTTTTAAAAAAACTTCTACTGTAGGTAAGTAGATCCAGAAGTATTCTTTACAGATAACTTATTAAGGGAATGATCCACTTCCAATGGGAACATTAGAAGAAAGCTATTAAATTTTCTTCACAAATAATTACACCTCTCACTGTGGCTTTTAACCAGGTGTGTGTATGAAAACTATAGCTATCGTACGTTATTTAGCGTATTGATATTCAAATATTTAGTTATCTATTCTTTATAGAATAAAAAAAATTCTATATTAAGCTTTTGTATTTATTGGCTTTGTATCTAACTATAGTAATATGATATATTATATGAAAGAAAGGTTATTAAAACGTGACCCACACATTTCTTTTTATGTAATCGAGACATCGATTTGATTTGATATTAGTTTGAATTACTTGATAACTTGACACAGGCCAGTGGTTGATGAATTTGGGACAGTGATTAATTGCACTCGAAGAGTACCTTTCGTCAAGTAGAGATACTGCAAGAAGGTATCAGAAAGCAAGTGGAAAGGATTGGACCATTTTTCCTTTTAAACGCAACTCTAGATCAGCAAGACTCAGAATGGTAATGAACTCCTATTTGATCTTGGGCAGCTATCCAACCATGGACAATCAAAATTTGGTTTAAAGGAGCTATCCCCAAACATGCGTTTAATATATGGCTTGTTCAATTAGAACGGTTACCTACACGAGCTCTATTGGCTTCTTGGGGGATGCCAATTGATACAAGCTTCTGCCTCTCAATAACTATGAAGAGAATTAAGACCACCTCTTTTCTGAGATGTGCTTTGAGTGAACAAGTTTGAGCAATGGTCATCAAACATTTGGGGTATCGTCCGGTTTTCTTTCATACATGGACAGCTTTTACCATTTGGATGGGAATGAAAGACACAATAAGTCCAAGGACTCTAAAACGTCTTATTGCTCATGCCATATAAACTGTGGTATAAAAGGAAAGGAACGTAAGACTTTACAGCAACATCAACTCCACGCAGGCTATCTTCAACGCAATCTACAAACTCATCCGCGATGCAAGCATACCTAAACGAAAAAGGAATACCTTCCGCAATCTGATGCAAACTTGCCTCAAATATGAGTAAAGAAAAATATAAAGCCCTAGATTCCAGAAATGTATATATCAGAGGTAGAAGTTTTTCAAATAATTCATTTGACCGATTTCTAAATACAACATAAATTGCATGTCATATTATTATTTTTATAAAACTAAAAAATAAAATTTGACCGATTTACACAATATACATTTAACAATAATATTTTTTAAAAATCTAAAAAGATAAAAACTGCGTGTAGCGCGGGAACTCACCTAGTATATATACTAATAAAAGTTGAAGCTAAATGCTTCTAAGGGTGTCCACATAGGATTTAAAAGTGTAATTCTATTGGTCCACATCAGCATTCAAAAATTAAGGAAAATTTACAAATTCTAATATTATTGCTGAATAAAGAAATTAAGAAAATTTACAAATTCGAATATTATTGCTGGATAAAGAAATTCTGTATAATGTTTTTATTGGTCCAACTCAACATTGAAAATTAAAAAGTTTCCAAATTCTATTATTGTTTTTAAAAATTATTAAAGATAAAAAAATTATATACAAACTATATTAAAAATAAAAAACTAAAATAAATCATATTAAAAAGGAAATTTTAAATTTAAATTATATGTATACACACATATTTAGAAACTTTTACGTTAACATCCAAATTTTTGTCACAAAACTATAATAAATTTTAAGTTTCTTTTTCTGTGTGTGCAACCATTTCAAATAAAAACAAAAAACAAAAAATAGAGTTAGGTTTCATTGCAATGTCAAAGAACCAACTTGATTAAACTATATGTTTAACTATAATGAAAGGAGATATAAACAAAGCCATTACAAGCTGCTTTAATATTGAAAAAGAAAACGTAAAATCTCCAAAGCTTGGCCACCGAATTTGACAAAATTATAAATTTCAAGCA